TGACGTTTGAAAGATCAATGACAGAAATCAGATAGATAAATACATTGATCCTTCGGTATAACTGAATTCATGTCTTGAATGAATGTAAATGAAAGATGGCCAAGAGACCAGTTGTTTGCTGTCAAGTAAACGACTGGGACGAGCTAAGAGGATGAGAAAGTATGTACATGTAGCACTTGATGGAACCTATGTGGAGGGCCCTGTAGAATGAATGTGGCATGAATACCACATAGTGAATAATAAGCTATGGCATAACAAAATGGGGCAATTCATGACCAGCATGGTTTGTTTTGTCCAGCCTGCATTCAACTGCATTGCATATTAAACAAGCTACACGTACACATTATGTAAAGTAGCTTCAGAATGTTTGACGCCACGTCAGTCCCGGGGTACCTATACCTCCTTCGTGGAAATACAGATACATCAAAATATATTAAATGTTTTGTTTTCATATCTTCAGAGTTGATAGATTATTGAATGATGTATCACTAGTAAGAAAATCAAAGGGATTGGTCTATAAAAAGCATCTGTGTAAAAAGCGTACATTACTTATTGATCACCCCTCGTATAGGCTATATAATAAATCTTGAATCTTACATCTAACTGACCAATCAGCTCGCTTTCCCCCAAGGTATTGTGCTTTTTAAATTTATGACTAAAAAAACATTAAGGTAAACTATTTATTTAAAGCCTCAAACTCGACATGTATCATGTTTTATATTTTTCATGAAATTAACAGTTGCATTTATTTCTCTTAGTAAACAATTAGCCACTTATTCTCAGAACCATCCACTTATTCTTATTTTTCAGATTTTTGGGACTTTCTGATCATTTAACAGAACAATATGTTTGTACTTCAATATTCAACATTTGCCACATATTTCCATGTAACACAAGAGGCTTTATTGAATAATTAGATAATTTTAAGGTGTTGATAGATTTACTTTTTAAAGGCCCTGTTCAAAGTTTGAAAATATTATCTAATCATTCAAATACTTGTATTATTTGTCATTCCTAAAAACTTGTTTGAGACATTTTTCAAAAAGCGTACTAGTACTGAAAAGGTTTTTTCGATATCTTAGTTTCATCAAATACAATACTATAAAGGCCTACTATAAAACACATTTTTTCTTCGCTCCATAAGATCAAATAAAATTTAATTTCCTTTTTATCAATATGCTAAACCTTCAAAATAAAGCAATATCTATCTTATCTTAACTGTAAGAAATGTTGATAAAGTTTCATATTTCACATTTTATAACATTGAGTCAGCCTACAATACATACCAAAGTAGATTAAACTTTTCCTGAGGCCTTTAAGACTATTTTGATTTACTTTTAAAGTCGAATAATGACAAGTAATTAGGGGGATTAAGATACACGTTTTTTAAAGAAACGTGTACGTAAATGAATGAATTGAGAGCGGGACAGTAATACTCGCCATTAGACATTGATGCACTGTTCTGTTTTCCAAAGTCAAAGTAAAATGAGTGCAGTGGCGCCCAGACATATGTGGCTATAACCTGATAAACTTGTTCCCAAGGTAGGGAAATCAGTTGCTTGATGACATCGTGTCTTTTAAGTACTTGACTACACGTTTTTAGTCAAACGAGTACTGTAGTTCATAAATTGATTCGAATGGGAACCAATAATTATAATTGCTGTTAAAATTGTTTACATATCGCTTGTTCTTTCCTTCAGTTAACTACATGTACCTGAATGTATACCCCTAGTGCTTTGGAAAGTGAAACAACTGCGATGACAGTTGGCTCATTTTTGGATGGTTCATTCAATGTGAGCAACGAGGTTGCCGTTGACACCAACACCTATTAATTATATAAAGTACCTAATAAAGATACGCCACAAGGCAGAAGCCCCAAATATTATTTATGGAGAGCCACATCCTCAAGGTTTTCTAACTCTAGGGTTTGGTTTATAGTGATTAGTGATAGCAAGCGTACGTGTCTATAAAGAAAGAAAATGATATATTACATGTACATAATATGTTTTTGATCACCATTTGTAACAAAAACACTGCATGCATTATATCTCGCGTGAAATTCGATTCATTCGCCTATCAATCATTTTCTGAGACACTAAAAGTGCGAATTTCATGATAACACAACCTATGGTATAATGCATCTTTAACCACGACACGCGTGAATGAGTTATTTGGTGGATTTAATCGTTTTTGATACGACGTCAGATACTGTACATCACGGCGTAACATTGTAATTGTTCATTTTACCGACAAAATGCAAAGATTTACACGATAAATATGCGCAATGCTCCTCCAAGTAATTGCAGAAGTTTTAATATTCGTGGAATCTTCTTAAAAACTTCAAGTTTTGTTCAGATTAATGTGAGCTTCAATACAATTCTATATTCAAAAAGGTTGTGTCACGATATACAGAATTAGAATCACCAGAAAGTAGACATTTCAAACCCTACCCGTTTTCTTCTTTGTCGCGCTTTTCGGCCCTGCGCTCTCGTTGTCGCACCGTCTTTCTAGACTCTTTCACAGTGCCCCTTGTCATATTCAACTGATATACACAGACGGGAAGATATTAAGGATTGTTAAATGCATTATTTGTAATTTATTTTAACTCGAATATTTAGCTTTATTTATTTAAAGCAATGAATAATAAAGGAGAACATATAATACGCTAACGGCGTAACGTCTTATTTTGTAAAGGCTTCACTTGGGGTTGCGGTGATAAAATGATGTCTATCTCAATATATACTGGTTCAAATTAAATGAAATTGATTGTATGTAGTAAGGGATATATTTAAAAGAACATGCTGAAACATTGGAAAGTTTTGAATGTTTATCCCTTAAGGTCAGGGTGCATGTTGGGAAATTTTCTGCATTCCTCAATTGAGTCACATGTTATTTTTCAAACAAGAATCACTCCTTCCCTTCATTGTCTATATCTTCCAGTTTTGCACAAAGAGTGCACTTATGTGCCTAGAAAAGACTTCTGAGAAGAATGTTTTGATAAAGTGTATAAAAAACAAGAAAATTCAGTGAAAAAAATCAGAAAATTTTCAGAAATTTTTTTCACTGAATTTTCTAATTTCTATACATTTTACAAAACAAACCTTCTCACAAGGCTTTTCTAGGCACAGAAGTGCACTCTTAGTGCAAACTTGGAAGATGTAGACAATGTGGGGAAGGAGTTATTCATGTTTGAAAAATAACATGTGACTCAATTGAGGAATGCAGAAAATTTCCCAACATGCACCCTGTCCTTAATTAGAAATATTTGAACTCAAAAAATGAAACGTAATTTTGTGAATTTTTCACATGGCTTCACTTCATATTTCTTTCAATTTATGCTTCTTACAGACTGAATTTTAATCGAAATGATATAGTTTTTTGATAAAAATATAGAATATGATATGCCTTTCAGGAATCAAAAAAGAATAATTCACCTTTCAAACGATTTAATGTTTAATTGACCAAAATATATATCTTGTTGGTACGAAATTCTGCCTGTCCACACTTTTTTTGCATAAATATAAGCGTTAAGTTAGCATTGTTATATTATGACGTCATCATACAGAATCTGTTTGTCTTTTCCAAAATGGTGAATTTAAATTTTGTGAAAATTTGAGAAAGATCCGTTAAGAAATGAAAAGGTTATCTTAATTTTTCGTTTAAAATTAAAATCATTTTTCTTCAAAATGTTACAGTCCACACCCGGTTTTAGCATAGAAAGTCGCATAATACGGCTTGCGTGATTCTCATTTAAAAAGTCCCAAATCAGTTATTTGGAATTCTGATAGGCAAAATATTTCATGGACATACGTGTTCAACTGATGACGAAAAATTGTAGAAAAATATGATTTTGCTGTCGAGATATTGCGGTTTTAAAAGTAAGTACGCATTAAAAATGCAGTAAAATGCCGCGATGTACAGTATCTGACGTCGTATCTTTTACACATTGATGGAATGGGACAAGTTCCACAGAGAGATAGTCTTAAAGTATGTTAAAATATCATTCTAAACCTGAAGTGGAAAGACTAGCGAACCATTCCCCTACACGTCATTCATAAATTCACGTGACAGACTTTACATCTGCATGGTGATTATATATATTTTTTGATCACCATTTGTAACTTTATTATCGAAATCGCGGATATACTCTTCTTGAAATTCGATTCATTCGCCAACATACGATACTCTGAGCCAATAAAAGTGTGAATTTCGCTTTAATATTGATAAATCAAATCATCTTTACACATTGATGGTACTGGACAAGACGTTTCACAGAGATATAAAGTATAAAAATGCGTTAAAAGTGTACTTTCATACCTGAAGCGCAGAAGGAAATGCTCCACAATCCCACATACGAAAACTGAAGTCACGTGACAGATTATACCCACCGTGAAATTTTACATTTACTTTATTGGGTCTATATAATCGGTAATAAGTGGAGACCAAATACAGTGCTCTCATCACACTCTGAATGAATGTTCTCTATGCCAGCATAATCAAAATTAAAAGATGCGACCATTTATCATTGAGATATGACATGTTACAATCGGAACGATCAAAAAATATGCTGGCACAGTTCAGATAAAGGCATTGTATTTTAGAATACATAAAATGATGAGCAAAAACGTTTAGTTTCAGCTATGTTCAATTACATGAAAAATGCCAATTTTAACATTTATTTGTTTTCACTGGAAAGCGCGGAGATTTGGGACCCATCCCCTATTTTTGGGCCACCCCTGGTGTCTTGTTATAACATCCTTGTAACTACAGTGCGAAGTTGGTCAATGCGTTGTTGATTAAGCATGATAATGATTTTATGTGTGGATGGGGGGTTCGAGTGCTGACATCTTTTATCAAAGAATCTGCAGCTGCATCAACAGAAGAACCTTAGTAAAATGTGTCATAAAACAATTTCGATCTTGGACAAAATAATTAGGTGTGTTGAATAATATTTTTCATTACGTTTTGCATATGTAGTACATCGTGACATTCAAAGAAAGTTAATCACAAACAAACTCAAGTCCTATGCCTGAACCATAATCAGTTTCATCATCCTTGCAGGACAGCGATTGCCTAGAAATAGAGCCGCATTCGCACCTCCTTCTCGCGACATTTCTTGCATCGCTACCATTGTCATCGTACAGCCCAAAATCTTTCCCAAATGGATCACTATCTATTGGTTGAAGAAACGAAAATATGGAATTTGAGTTTTGCTCAGTAAGCCTGTTATTAAGCAACACTTGCTTCGCTGAATTCAAACGACAGTTAGTTCCCTGAACGTGAATGTCCACCTGTGTTCTATCTATCCCATTTGGAAATATCCGCCCGGACGTCTTGATTTCTACACATGTTATTTGTCGGTACGTTGTCTCCTCTTTGATTCCATACAATTGGCCGATTACTGTTGGATTCTGACCACCTTTACTCACTGCGCGGACTTCTGATTCACCTGAGGACCTCCTAGTGACTTTCACTTTTAGGTATACGAATTTCGATGGAAGATTAGGAAACCAAGCTAGTGAAAGCGCTGCTTGGTTCGGGCAATCCCTCGGTGTAAGGCACACTTGATATGAGAATGAATGAGACCATGGCCTGTAAAATCTGAAATGCGGACTTGATGACGATTCCGAGGAGTCCATACATTCTTTGAATGCAACTGCAACTGGGTACCTGCACCCCCATCTATTGCACAATCTACAAACTGCCTTGGTCGGATTTTTGTTACAGTTTTTACATTCATCGCTGTCCCGAGAGAGACATCCACTTGTGGAAGTTGAATAAAATATTGGACCATATTCTGGAGCTCTTGTGGCTTTTACTTTTGCAACAGCATTATAGTCTTTCCCATTTCCACCTTGGCCGAATGTTTCTAGCGTAACATCAACACCAGCTATGTTTGGTACACTTCCTCCCAATGATATAGACGTTTGAAGAGAACCTTCTGCATCAGTTCGTCCAGTATCAGTTGCCCGGATGTAACCATGAAACTGTCCGTTTTGGCACACAGTCATTATACAATTACCTTCAGATCGTTCCAATCCTGGTCCTCCATTACGTGCGTTTCGGCCTGTAGTGTAACGGCGTATACCACCCGTGAACGCGTTCTGCGCGATAACAGTTGGTTCAAAAGCAGATGCTGACAATGGTGACTGGCTTGAGGAGTCTTTGTAAGCCCTGACGTTTACATAACAATAGTCAAGGACTTTTCTGTCAAAGTTAACCCAATAATAGTCTCTGATGACGATATCTCCAACGAAGATAGTGTACGACTGACGTTTCCTGCGTAATGAAAGCGAGCGAGTAGACGATATTGGACGCAGTGGGCCTTCGACAACCCATCTTCCCGTGTCAGCGTTATAGGTCCAGAGCTTGACATCAGTATAGCTTGCGTTCATTTCCCCGATGAACTCAGCCTCCACTGCAACCTCGACCTTTCCCTTAAGACTCAATGGGTTTCCATTGGCATCATTAAAACTCATGTGGAATTGTCCTTGGGTGTCCAACTGTTCTACCTCACCATTTTCATTTACAGACGTTAGATCCCCTGGCATTTCATCAATGCTGACAGGATCTCTGGGATCAATAAAGTCTATAGACGCCTTGACCGTTCCTTCATATTTTTCACCGTTATTTGTGTAAAAAGAGTCACCTGGAATATGCAGTTCAGCAGCAGGCTCATTAGTGGAAAGATCTCTAGCCATGGGCATGATTTGAGCTTGTTTGGAATCGATCTCTACGACATTGGACTTCCTCTTTATCGGAAAATCTCTCAAAAAAGTTCCCGAGAAATCCCTCGGAAGATCGAAAGCTTTGGATGTTTCAATAAAATCATCAGGTATCAGATTCTCTCGGATCATCACAACTATTCTTGTCGTGTGACGTGGTATTTTGAACTCGAATTCCCCATCTAAGCCAGTAAATGATACTTTCTCGCCATTTAAAAAGACATCGCCATAGAGTAACGGACGATTGATGTCCCTTGAATCATATGCTCTTCCTTTGAACACCCCTTCAACTGGAACATAAGTGATAGCGGTTGGTTCATTTTCATCAAGAGGATTCGAAGTATTTAATTGGTTGCATGGCATGCATCCACATTCTAGAGTCACTACGGCACTTAGGTTGTAGCCATTACAAGACAACTGGCGGACTTCTTGTCTGGTTGGACCACAGCAGTATTCCGCTGCTTCTACCATATCGGACACTAAACACGAGTTTCTCTGACATTTACCTAAAAAAGAACAACTTATATAAATTATTGAGCTAAAAGCGTTCGGATTACATGGATTAGGAGGTGTTCGGATTTCAACGTTTTTGCATCCGTAAGATTTTGTATTTTCAAGGGCTTTTCAAGCTTTCTAGTTGAAAGTCCATGATGTTTTAAAGAAATGTAAATGGATTCTCGATGTATTTTAAGATTTCTATTGACAACTTAGCTTCAAGCAAATGAATTTAGTCATGAAAGAAAGACTGGGACCTAATTAATGCCTTTTTGTTTTGATATCGTAACAAATCAGTGTTAATTATAAATTGAAAATATTTGAGCAATTTTGTAAGAAAAATGTTATAATTTATATTAGACAGGTAAGATGTTCAAATATGAGTGTTCACACTATTCGAATAAGGTGTTCAGATTTTAAGTTTTTTAAGATGGGAGCCAATGGTAGGAAAAACGGAACCGGAAAAACTGTGTGAAAAGTGTGGCCTAAAGTGAAAAGAGACTTTTGACACTCACCGACAGGATACATGACATTGCCATTTTGTGGACAGTCTTTTGGTAGTTCTTTTAATTCTTCCGAGGGACTGGAGTCACAGAAATCACCCAAATTCTCTGAAAAATTCATCATTATAATATAAGCCATCATCATCTTGATTCACAAGGTTTGAGTTACTCTCATTTCACTTTCAATATTTCTAGTAAGTATGTAATTCTTTTGTCAGAGTAAACAAAATGAAATGCCAATGATACTCTCAGACCAAAGAATAATAATGTCAATGAATCCCAGTATAATCATACAAGGCAAACATCCATAGCTTCTTCCAAAACGTGGATAGTTAGCCTATTTGGTTATAAAAGTATATCATTGAATTTGTAAACGATAACAGATGGCAGTCGCCTTTTCTTCATCATAGAATCGAACAAAGTAAGTAAAAACAATATGCAGAGTTATAGCTGAGACTAAGGTTATAGATAGTCCAGGAAATATGTCACCATTTCTTTATAGTGAGTGACAAATCTCACCTTTAACAATGAGTTGTGCAGAGTCTGACATCATAGCAGCGTAATCATTGTTCGCTCTGCATTTGTACATTCCATTGTCGTCTAACTTCACCGACTCTATGAGGAGAATATTGCTCTTGCCGTAAATATCTTCGTCCAAAAGATTACCATTTTTGAACCTAAAGAAAACGTAAAAATCATTTAAATCTAATAGTGCAAGAATACTCAGATAATGGAACGCAAAGTGACCTTTCGCCGCGGTATCTGTTCGGGGCCTTCATCAATACAAGTTATAATAAAATCTATGTTGGCACGATCTTGTGATGCAAAAGTGTCGAAGATGAACCTTCAATGATCGTTCGTTAATTTTAAAAGTTCCAAGCAATTCTCTCGTTTGATCACATATGTCAAAAATGATACAGCTTGAGAAGAGGTGACTACGGCAATGGAATAGCAAGCCGATATCAATTCTCTTTCCATAATTTCAGGACAAAACGTTAACTTAGCTTTCTTAATATCAATTCAATGTTAACTCACCATTCGTAATATTCAGGAGATGGTTTACCAGTCGCCTCACACGTAAAATTGATTGTGCTTCCAACTAACGCTACCTGGTCGAGAGGCTGTTTGTAGATTTCAATTTGCTCTGTAATATAAACACAATTGCTCATCGGTTGTGAGAATTAAACTCACGAGTCTTGTATTGCTGTATACATTCATCTTGATCTAGCTATATATAACATGTGACAAAAGGAATACACAGGTCTAACAGTACGGTATACAATAAAAAATTGAAACATAAAAAAGAGAATGTCATCATTATACTATAGTATCATTCGGTCTTTTTAGAGCTGTTTTATTTCCTACACTCTTAAAACGAGTGTTCTTATGTAACGTGTGAATTTGTTGGTTTTTGGTATTTTAACACGTTGGTGTTAATCTCAATCTCAGTAGCAATACAGAGGATCACACGATAAAAACGTTATTGAATGATTTGAAGTGCAATACAGGATATATTCTGTCTCGATATGTTGTATCGACTTCGTCTCGTTCCAATACGGAATTTCTCGAGCAGAATATATCCTGTATTGCACTTTAAATCATTCAATAACTTACAATATTGATTTTGTAAAAATGTACAAATATACTCTTTCATTATAAAAACTCACCTAATGCAGCAAGGATAACTACAGATGCGTTGCTCGCCTTCACTGTCGTATCAACATAACCAGTCTTCTTCACGACAATTGTATCACTGTTGCACAATCCTTCGACAGTGGTCGCGCCATCGTCACCCGTTATAGCCATGACACTATACGCTGTCTCGGCTCTTGCAACAGTTGCTCCATCCAATGGGACCGTTCGGGAACTGTAAACTCCTACGGTTATTTGGCTCGTTGTACACTCACAAGCGGTACAGTCTCCGTTGAGAATACCATCAACACATGCGATATTGCAATCTGTGAAGTAGACATACACCGTCTTCATAAGGTTCGCTTCCGGAAATCCCCATTGGATGTAATTTAAGTATACAAGGCCGAGATTTTATTTCACGATATTTGTTAAAATGGCCTATAAACAAGTTTTAACCCGTAACAAAAAGGGGACTTCAGTTGACCAAACTTTTGATTGGGAATGCACGAGTCCACATTCTCAAATGATACAAACGTGAGTTGGTTGTGTTGCTAATGAAACCAAAATCTCACATCTTTATTTTCACCTAATCGTTCTAATTCAGATAAAGATTAAAACTGAATCCTACCTGGACATTTTCCTGGAGTGCATTCTCGTGAAATCTTACTCAACCCATCGCAATTGATGTCATTGACGCTTTGTTTCGTGCACACCCTTTGGCGAGTCTGGATTCCTTCACCACACGTGACAGAGCAATCATTCCATGTTCCCCAAGAGCTCCACGTCGCATATGTCACTGAACCTGAAATCCAAATGGCTTGCCCTTTACCATCAGACGAAACGCATTGATTAAAGAATTAAGGATACATGTTATTGACGTTGACCGATTTGGAATTATAGACAGACAAGTACGAGGTCGTTCAAGGTTTGAATTTTTGAATTTTTTTAGAACTAATTATCAAACACCAGACGAGAGATGTACCAAATATAGATTTAGGTCTATTGGAAAGAAAAGCATTCATACCAGCAGCACCCAGAGTTGTTGTTTGAACACTTGAAGTAACGTCATTGCCTTGAGACGCAGTTGTTGAGAGTTGCACTTTTTCAGAAGTTAATGTCGATGTTGAAGATGGTTGTGTCGTGGCGGTTGTTGAAGGTGGTTTTACTGTCTTGGATGTCGAGGGTGGATGTGTTACGACGGTTGTTGAAGGTGGTTGTGTCGTGGCGGTTGTTGAAGGTGGTTTTACTGTCTTGGATGTCGAGGGTGGATGTGTCGCGGAGGTTGTTGAAGGTGGTAGTGTCGTGATGGTTGTTGAAGGTGGTTGTGTTGCGACGGTTGTTGAAGGTGGTTGTGTTGCGACGGTTGTTGAAGATGGTTGTGTCGTGGCCGTTGTTAAAGGTGGCTTTACTGTCTTGGATGTCGAAGGTGGTTGTGTCACGACGGTTGTTGAAGGTGGTTGTGTCGTGATAGTTGTCGACGGTGGTTGTACTGTGTCAGTTGTTGAAGGTGATTGTGTTGTGACGGTTGCTGAAGGTCGTTCTGTTGTTGAAGGCGGTTGTACTGCCTTGGATGTTGAAGATGGTTGTGGTTTGGTTGTTGAACGTGGTTGCACTGTTGCAGTTGTTGTTTTAGAGCTACTGGATTGAGTTGTTGACATAGAGCCAGACCTACTGGGAACTGATGTCGATGATTGCACTCCAGCTCCCGGAGCTTGTGTGATTTTTGTAGGTCTCATAGAATAAGAGGTTGTTTTCTGTTGGTTGGGCTCCCGAGTCGTTGAGTACGATGTTGATACGTGGTGTTGATCTGTGTCACCGTTATCTGCAATGTCAAAACTTCGATTGAAAAAGAATCAAAATAGAAAGAGGCTTCCACGTGGACAACTACAGTCGTTCACTCTTGTATCATATAAAGTGTTTCGATCTGAGTAATGAGCTAAGAGCCGGTATTTTAAACAATCAATCAATTTCAATTTCTACTTAGTTTTAAACTTGTCTTCAGGAGAAGTTTCCTCACTACTTTCAGGACAAGGGGCTGCTGGTACATCAATAGGCTACTGAATGACGATATCGTGGTGCTTACAAAACGATTGCAATTTTAAGATATCTTCTCTTTGAAAGATCACCCCAGTTTAAATATTAAAAACCATAAAAAGACGTACGTACGTACCGTTTAATATACCTTTTCCAATTAGCACAAACAATACAGTGGCAGTGATTACAATTACAACTGCAACACCAATGGCGATTAGCATTCTTGTTTTCTTGATTTTGTATCGACTCTTCGTAGGATAGGAAGGTGGTGCGTCTCCGTATGGCGGAATATTAGCTAAACTCGGCTGCACGAATGGATGATTGTAGTCTGATGGAGGGTCTGTATTTGGACGGCCTTGAAGAGTTTCGTAATGGTGTTCATTTGATTTTGTGTTGTAATCAGGTTTGACGTAAACGTCGTCGCCATCAAAGCCTGGGTTTGCGTATTCCGCACGTTTCTTGTCTGATATTGACATCCTGAAAATCCTGAATAAATAAGGAGTGGGCATCAATAAAGATAAATTTGTAAATAGGCTTTGCCATCCCCCGAACGCAGGGCTCCAGACATCACCCACGGTGTTCCTTCCCTCTTCGGAGAGGAAGGTACATGTACGAGTTGTGGAGACCTGTGTTCGGAGAATGGGCTTCGGGTGAAAATATGTCATAAAAAGATGGCGTCTGAGTGTAGTTCATCTCCTTAACAAAATATGAACGACATGATCATACAAGTCAACGTCCCAGTGACAGTTCGATTTTCGATTTTTAAGATCAAGTCCTTTATGGGTACTTAACTTGAAAAAAAAACATATCGCTTTAATAAAAGCCATTGTATTTATGGCCAGAAAGTACTCATGGTGAAAGATATGACTGTCTAAAATTACTTGCCATACTGCGCGTGGTCTTTTAAAAAGTAGAGTTTAAAAGTAGGCTTTTCCCCATAAGTAAATTTCAAAAAATAGTTTGTACAATGTGCTTTTGTCAAACATGATATGGATGTGTTGGAGAAATTATATCATCGTGTTTTTACCTTACAGAGGTGTTTCGCAAAACGTTTTTAGCCCAACAAGAACGTATCTAAAATTCGTCACGCTTTTCCCCTCTCTAATGTTTTCAAATGAATTTCAGATCCATGTTAATAACTGGTTCAAAATTAAAACTTATCAAAATACTAGAATGAATAAAGTATCTCAAACACCATACTGTACCTCAATATGTCAATTAGACAATAAAACGTTCACACTTTGTGTTAACTGCGTTCCCGTCTGGAAGGTCCCAGTGGTCTTTCCCACGCCTGTGTCAAGAAATGACAAATTTCATTTAAAACCACGAATATATACTTATTTTGAAATGATTTATGTATTTGCGGAAGCATGTTTCTAAAATCACCATTTTTCACAAAACTTTTTTTACAAATTTTATTTTTAGAAACACCCTTTTTTCATGCGAACAGCCTACTCATATTGAAATTTCATTTTTGATTTGATCATTTAATCTTGACATAAGAACTAGTTGTCCCTTGTTGAGGTTAATTTATTTGATTTATTTTGAAAGTTAAAACAGTAATAAAGCGCGCATTAGCATTTTAATAGGCATTTTCTATGTTTTAATCATAATGGTAATACCGAGAGGAAGTTATTTGATGTCTGAATATTCACCAGCAAATGATGGCATGGGAGCCTTTAAAGTATAGATGATCAATGCTAGTCAAAAGCTAACTAAAGTGTTCTAAAGGTGCTACTCGCGATCGAGATTAACATACTTCAAATAATGTCGACTTGAGGGTCACACGTGAGGGTAACAAAATAGAATGCAATATTTTTTTGCTTCAAGTTTTCTTAGTCATACATATTTTTCCAAATTGTTACAAGTTCATGACTTGATTTCATGATAATGCAAATAATTTCTAATGTTTGACTAAATCTTTGAAAGCGTATCCATATATAGATTTATGTTATTTGATACTCAGTACTTGTAGGACACTGGACGAAGTTAATTCCATGAGGAGTTCAGAGGGTAAATGACGAGTGCATGATACCTTTCAACACGATATCTCCTTTTGGCACCACTATTTTTTATTTACATCCATCAATAAAATGACAATATCCACTGGCGGATTTGGGGTCCCTGGACCCCCCCCCCTTGGGTGGATCCAGAAAAAAAATCGGAGCCTAAAACTTTTTAAAGGCCCTTTTAATGGGTCTTATTTGGCAAAAATGGGCCATCAAAGGCCATATTTCTTAATTTAAGGCCAAATTTTCTGGAAAATGGGCCTTAAATGTTGGTTTTAGGGGCCCAAAACGTTTTTCAGACTCTTGTTGGGTTTCTGGATCCGTCCCTGATATCTCCAGTTCTATTCAGTATTTTCTACACCTTGACAAGTTGTTGACATGTAATAATGCTTATTAAAAACTGTACTTATAGTGATAAAATTTCAAGTATTGGTCCCGAGGTATACAATCATTTCCAGTTTTTACCTAAAAACAGCTCTTGCTTATCCGTCACTAGGCCAACATTTTTCCACTATATTCACGTCGGGGATGTTATCTTTGATAAAATCAATTGAATAGAAAATCAATAATCTAAAATCGTTGCTTGGGATGAGAGTTAAACCATGGTTCACAACTTTTGACGTTTGGATCTAAACAATTTCATTTACGGCCTAACTTAATTCAACGTTGTATTGTTCAATCTTTCAATGTTTAGTTCCACTACCGAGACAGAGTCTTCATTGACATTTTGGGTGACCTTGACCTATTGAACTTGAACTATCATGACCTCATAGGCTACCACAAGGGAAAATATCATCTCAAATTTCAATTACAGCCTCAGGGTATTTCAAATTGACCATCCACCCACACATAGCCAGTTCTACATCACATGGCTCCATAGTACAGGGTGACCCAAAATGAATGCAACCCATAACACAATTGATAAAATCGTAAATAATGATAGTGATATAGGGCTAATGCATAATTCATTTAGGTTATCCCAATTTAGGTTTCAAATAAATCTAGCCAATCTACCTTGGTTTCATAGGTCCATCAAAAGAGTCAAGAATATTCAGTGGTGTATACAGTTTTATTGTATTAAACCATTACATGCTCAGAAAAGTATACATCATAAATATATATCTTCGTTAAAACATATTCATTAACCCTTAGAATATCATTAAAAACTAACCTGAGAGAAACATAAAAATTAAAATATTAAAAGTAAAGCTACTGTACTTCTACTTAATTTGCCAGCTGTTTTAATTTGGCGGATCCGCCTAATTGTTAAAGTCCGCTAAATTAAGTAGCCGCCAAATTCTCAAGTAATTTTAGTACCATGTAAATTAGTACCATTAGTACTTTGTATTGCAAGTCTGCCAAAGTAAGTAGCCACCAAGTGTTCAAAACAGCAAAAATGCTGCAAATAAGTTGTGCCAAATTAAATAGAAGTACAGTATTTTAAGTCACGCCTCTGAGAATGACTGAGAAAAGGGAAGGAAAGTACCATTATTTGAAAATCTACCATAAATCTATTTGAAAATTCTTCCATAAAAGTGGTAGGTTGGCAGATAATTTTGTTTCAGGGCTCTCACAAGGCTTTCAGACTTTGGAACAGTACCAGAGTCTATTTAACTCCCAGTTACCCAGTCTTTTGACAAGCCATGATTGTTGCAACAGAGTCACAGTAAAACCTATTTAAGTGGAACACCATTGGTATCTTAAAAAAATAGTGTCACGCTTTGGAGGTGTTCCATTTACTGAGGTTCATTTACATCAAATTAATGGGAAATATGACTTGGAAACATGTTCCACTTAAAAGGTGTTCCACTTTTTGGACTATACAAATCTATAAAATAAAATATATGATATAAAATCAAATATGATTCATCATGATTGACCAATTATATCGAAAGAAATTCTGCTACAAACTCATATTTCTTGCAGTTAAAGCCCAGACTGCGTGTGGTACTAGAAAGGAGTTGGCAATAGAAGATTTTATGCAAGACATCTAAGTAAAACCTGTATATCCGAACACCTCTCAATGTGAACACTTTTCCCTGTCCCAATTTTGTTATTACCCATTGACTCAAATACAACTTATTTCACATATAACTTATTTATATTCAGATATTGATTATCTGTTAGTCTGTTAGTGACTAGAGACTTCATGAAATAATAAATATCTGTAATCAGTACTCATATACTTATGGTATTTGCCATATAAAAGAATAGCAGGCTTACAATTATTGTACTGAAGGGGGGGGGGCAGTTCCAAAGAAGATGCTGACTATTTGCCATATTAAAGAATTGCAGGCTTACAATTATTGTACTGAAGGGGGGGGGCAGTTTCAAAGAAGATGCTGACTATTTGCCCTATAAAAGAATTGCAGGCTTACAATTATTGTACTGAAGGGGAAGGGGGGGGGGGCAGTTCCAAAGAAGATGCTGACTATTTGCCCTATAAAAGAATTGCAGGCTTACAATTATTGTACTGAAGGGGGGGGGGGCAGTTCCAAAGATGCTGACTATTTGCCCCATAAAAGAATTGCAGGCTTACAATTATTGTACTGAAGGGGGGGGGCAGTTCCAAAGAAGATGCTGACTAAGCACTTTATTCAAGGTTGCATATCCATCATGAATGTCCACTTGTAGTGCTGACATCTTTTATCAAAGAATCTGCAGCTGCATCAACATTATGAACCTCAGTAAAATGTGTCATAAAACAATTTCGATCTTGGAATTCTTCACGACACTGAGGACACTTTAAAACCTCATGGACTTTTTGGTGGTTCCACAATTGTCCCACACTGTTCAAAACCTTTCCACACATTTTGCATGGATGTCTACGACTTATCTCAGGTCGGTAGTCACTATTGGTTGATTTTGAGCTTTGTATTAGAATAGAGTTCGCTGATTTCCGTTTTTTATCTTGTCTTGAAATGATAAGATTTTCAAATGATCGACGATTTGATTTGATCGGAAACTGCCCTGAGTCTACTCGGGTCCTGCGTTCTTCTTTAACCCAATTGTGTGAGAGATCCCTAGATTGATCAACTAAAAATGACCTATCAAGATTAAACAGATCAGGTTTGGTTTGTTTTTGTGTATCGGTAGTAGAGTCCTTAATGTGGCTCTTGTCTTTCCCTTCATCAGTCTTTGTATTATTTAAAATGCTATCCATTTTCTCCATAGACATGTAGTCACAATTATCAGAATCACTAGTCCATGCCTTTCTATCCAGGCTTTTACCCCCATTCAACATTATAAGCTTTTGTTTGACTGGAGCATCAATAACACTTCTGTTTTGGGGTTTGTCATTCATGTCCATAGATTCATCGGATTCAATCGTCTTCTGGTTAGATAGTTTTCTTGCACGTGATGATTTACGTCCACTTATCCTGCGCTTACGTTGAATGTTAATATAATTATCATTTGACACTATAGTTGTTTTGGGCATGGGGTATGTCATGTCACATTTTGAGTCA